CTGAAAACTTAATCGGGTGGGGACATCAGTTTCAGCTGCTGTTCCAAATGTGGCTTCATAGCTTGCATAAATTAACATACCCCCTGGTACCTGGTATGCACTTATTGATCTAGAAGATACTTTTTTTCCCTGATATCTGTTAGTAGAGACCACCAGAAACAGTTTGGTCTCAGGTGGCAAGCCCGCAATACACCTTCATTGTCCTGCCTGAGGTGTATGCCAACTCTCCAGCCCTATGTCATAATTTAATCTGAACAGATCTTAATTGCCTTTCTCTTCTATAAGATATCAATCGTGGCGCATGCCTGTAATCCCAGCTACTCAGGAGGCTGAGGCAGGAGAATTGCCTGAACCCAGGAGGCGGAGGTTGCGGTGAGCCGAGATTGCGCCATTGCACTCCAGCCTGGGTAACAAGAGCGAAACTCCGCCTCAAAAAAAAAAAAAAAAAAAAAAAAAAGATATCAATCACTGCTGGTCCATTACATTGATGAAATAATGCTGATTGGACCTAGTAAGAAGTAGCAACTATTCTAGACTTTATTGCTAAGACATTTGCGTGTCAGAGGTGGAAAATAAATCCTACAAAAATTCAAGGGCCTTTCACTTCAGCGAAAGTTCTAGGAATCTAGTGGTTGAGATATCCCTTCTGAAGTGTTGCATCTAGCCCCTTGCACAATCGGAAAAAAAAAAAAAAAAGAGGCTTAATACCGTTAGGCCCTCTTTGGATTTGGATTTCAGAGGCAACATGCAACATACTCCTCATCGGAGTGTGTTACTCTGACCTATTTACCAAGTGACCCAAAAAGCTGCTAGTTTTAAGCCCAGGATAAGAGCAGGCTCTGCAATAGGCCCAGTCTGCTGTGCAAGCTGCTCTCCCACTTGTGCTTTATGTCCCAGGAGATCCAATGGTGCTTGAAGTGGCAGTGGCAGATAGGGATGCTATGTGAAGCCACTGGCAGGCCTCGACAGGCAAATCACAGTGGACCCTAGGACTTGGAAGCATGCCTTCTTCTGCTGGTAACTACTCTGCTTTTGAGAAGCAGGTTTGGCCTGCGTCTGGAGCTTAGCAGAGACTGCTCGATCATGGGCCACTTAGCTGCCCTGCAACCTAAGTATTATCTGATCACCAAGCCATAAAGTTAGGCATGGAGAGCAGAACTCCAACATCAGATGAAGTGATCTACATCTGGTCTTGCGTATCCATGGGTTTTGCATCTGTGAACCCTTGCAGTTCAAACTGTGTGGGATGCAACTAACCAAACAGAAATTTTCTTTAAAACAAAGGACAGTAGTATCTGTGTTGAACATGTACAGACTTCCTTATCTTGTCATTATTCCCTAAAAAAATACAGTGTAACAACTACTTACATAACACTTTCAATGTGCTAGGCATTAAAAGGAATCCAGAGATAAAGTATAAGGGAGAATGTGTGTAGGTTATATGTAAATACGACACCATTTTATACGGGGAACTTGAGCATTGGTGGATTTTGGTATCTACAGGGGATCAGGGAGCCAATCCCCCATGGATATCAGGGGATGACTGTATGTGTGATGGGGCATGATGGGGGTGCTGAAGGCACAGGTGTTACAGGAACAAGTGGTCCCAACACCGACAGTCCTCACTCCTGCTACATCACGTTTTCTTTCCCAGCCCACACCTATGGGAGTTCTATCATCATTTGGCTGAGGACGAGAAAACTTGGGCCTGATTTACAGATGGTTCTGTGCAATATCCAGGTGCCAATCAGCGGTGGATGCTGCGGTATTACAGCCCCTCTCTGAGACATCCCGGAAGAACAGAGGGGAAGGAAAACAAAACTTTCAGCAGTGTCCTTGCCTGCTCATTGTCCTTGGGAGAAGAAATAACCAGGTGTATGATGATATACCACTTCGTGGGCTACAGTTAATGATTTGGCTGGGTAGCCACGGACTTGTCATGAACATGATTGGCAAATTGGTGATAAAGTGGTCTGGGGAATGCATATCTGAACAGACCTCTTCGGGTTAAAAAAAAAAAAAAAGGTGAAGATATTTGTATCCCATGTGACTTCTCACAAACGGGTGACCTCGGCAAAGGAGGATGTTAACAAGTGAGTGAATAGGAATACCAATCAGCCTCTTTCCCCAGCCACCCTGGGGCCCATGAACAAAGTGGCGATGGTGGCAAGGTGGAGGTTATGCATGGGCTCAGCAACATGAGAATGGAGGCTCCAAGGGAGGGATTTAAAATTCTGATATAAAATTCTGTGACTATTTGCTTCACTCTTGTGTTCCCCAAGCCCAGCACAGTGCTACAGTGCTGTTGCATAGGAGCCCAATAAACAGAGCTGACCATCGAACAACGTGAGTGTGAACGGAGGGTCTACTGATACACAGATTTTCTTCCACCTCTGCAACCTGAGACAGCAAGTCCAACCCTGCTTCTTCCTCCTCCTCCTCAGCCTATTCAACGTGCAGACGACAGGGATAAAGACCTTTATGATGATCTACTCTCACTTAGTAAATATAATTTATATTCCTTATGATTTTTTAATGACATTTTTTCTCTAGCTTACTGTAAGGATGTAGTATTGCATAATACATACACAAAGATGTGTTGACTGGCTGTTTGTGTTATCAGCAAGTCTTCCAGTCAACAGTAGGCTATCAGTAGAAAAGTTCTGGAGGAATTAAAGGTATATGCAGATATTTGGCTGCACAGGGATTGGTGCCCCGACCTCTGCATTGTGCAAGGATCAACTGTATCTGAATGAATGAATACAAGGCAGAAAGAGAACGTGGTGAAGCTCAGTAATAGTTTTACTTACTAACTGACTTAAAAATAATGAACATTTGTGAAATTGTTTACAATTGAGATATACATACAAACAAGTCATGTGCCACGTGAGGTTTTGGTCAGTGACTACTGCAGATACTATAGTGGTCCTATAAAATTGTGATACTATATTTTTACTGCACTTTTCTCTGTTCAGATATACAGATACCACTGTGTTACAACTGTCTGTGGTATTCAGCACAGTGACATGCTGCACAGGTGTGCAGCCTCGGAGCAACAGGCTGCAGCATATAGTCTAGGTGTGTAACAGGCTATGTTGTGTCAGTGCACTCTGTGATGTCCATGTCACGATGAAATCACCCGAGACAAATTTCTCTGAATGTATCCCCATCATTAAGCAACACATGATTGTACATATACATTTACTAATATTTACTTTTAATACAGAGAAGTTTTTTTCTTTGCTTTGTAGAATTTTATATCAGTTAAAAGGGAAATAAATTTAGAAAACACAGTTTCAACTTTCGCAGGCAAAACACACACGTGAAACACATGCAGGGCGAGTGGATGTTTCCTAATTACTGAGTCCATCGTCTCTAGTATGATGGCCAAATGTCATAACTACACGCCCACATCAGCAGACTCCTCCCTCTTAATATGCTGAATCATTTGTATCTCACCCTTCCTTATCTCCTTTGCAATTCAAGTAGAAAACAAACAATTTAGATGTTTGAGGATAGGAAATACTGGTTAAATTTGTGCCTCAGACTAGATTTTTCAAGTCTACTGGATTGTTCGAAAAATACTTTTAGACAACACACAAGGTTTGTAACTTTTCACAAATTTAAAATATTTCAAAGGTCTTTGAAAATTATAAAATCTTGATTTTAGCTTTCTGAGGGGTGCTGTTTTGACAGATTTGAAATTTTATTATTTGATTAAAAAGCCATCACTCTTTCAATTTAGTGCTTAGATGTTTCCTTAGAGCCTTGGGTTGTTGTTCTAGGACTCTGTGGAGGATACCGACTCAGCCTGCTGCTGCAAAGACAAAGGAATCCTTTCTCAGAGAAAACTCAGACTGAATCTGCTACGTTGGATTTTTCAGATGGCCATGGACACAGGCTACTGAAGGGTTTTTGGGATCTACAGTCCCACATGCCCTGTATCTCCCATTGCCTTCACAGTGGATCACCTCTCAATTAAATGTCACCAGCTCACCCCCCGAGTTTTCTTATTTGACTGGAAACACAGTATTTTTAAACACACACAGGGCTCTCCATCAGCCTGCAGAATGTGGGTATATCTTTACTATTTTTTCCTGTTCATAAAAATACATGCTTTCCCCTAAACAAGTTAAAGAAAATAATCGCCCATAATTCACCCACAAGTTTGGTGTACTTTCTTCCAGTATTTTAAATATGCAAAGATAGAGTTTTATTTGTATTTACTACCCATGTAACTATATGCTTAGCCTTTTCTCCCCCTATTTCGAGTTTATTTTTAATTCAGGGATTAGGTAGCCAGAGTCTGGCCTAGTGACTTCTGATCTTTCGCTTGTGATCTCTTACCCATCTTCAACCAGATGCCTCTTTCTGTAGCCCAGTCTGATCTCTTGCGGGCCCTGAACATACTTTTCTAGCTATTGCCAATTGCCTGAGATTTGTTAACCACACCAGTAAATTTATTTTTGCTAACGTTAGTTAACAAAGAAGTTTTTCTAGAAGAGCTAGGTGGAATATGTCATCAGAGACTTAGAATGAAAGCAAAATAGCTCTGGTAATCTACTTGTACCTGATTCTTCCTCAGACTGCAAGGTGGTCACCAGCAATTCAGAGAGAGGCTCCAATAGCAACTTCACTTTTTGTCACAGACCCTAACCATCTTGAGGTTATGTGTCAAAGGAAGAAGACATCTAAAAACTACGAATTGGTGCCTATTAACTTTTCTAAAAAGTCAACTCTTTTTCCTTTACTAAAAAAAATTTAGGTTTGTCCTTCCAAATTGCTTCTCAAATTTTGGTAGACTCAAGGGTTGGGTCACACACAGTTCTGGGCAGCTGACATAAAATCCGTATTTTTATAACTAGAAGAGCCAGGAAGCCACCCAGCGCCTTTCTCCTAATACATAATAGAGTTACTAACTTGGAGTTATTATTTCAGAGCTCAATTGTATTTCGTGACTACATAGAAAGCCAATGCATTAAAAATAGAAAAGGAACACCTTTACATATGAATTAAAATTTATTTTAAACTGTTTCGTATATCTTTTTAAAAAATGAAAATTCAAAAGTCTTAGAATTAAGTAATGAGTCTTCAATATCATAAAGCTGTGTATAACAGTAATTAAAGCAGTGGTAACATTTTACCCTTGTAAAAATGTCACAGAATTCAAATCACAACTTGGATCCTCAATGATTCAAGTGGTTCATCTTATACAATAAGCCTTTGGTTTCAAGATAAAATTCCCCCCACATGCTGTCCTTACGTCCTTCTTCCTCACCATCCATCAGCTCACACAACGGGGTAGCTGGCTGCTGTGGCAATCCCACAGTGGTTGTTCTGGTCTTTGGCGATTTTTATATAGCCATTCAAGCCCCATTCTGGACCCCAGCTGAAAGAGGAGCAGGTTTTCCATTTTATACAAAGAATCAAAAGAAAATTAGCTCCATTAATAATAATAGCTCATACTTAAACAGTGCTTCCCAGGTGTCAGGCCCTATTAAGTGCTGTTAATATCTATTTATAAATGTATTGAGGCCAGGCACAGTGGCTCACACCTGTAAGCCCCACACTTTAGGAGGCCAAGGCAGCCAGATCACTCGAGGTCACAAGTTTGAGGCCAGCCCAGCCAATCTGGTGAAACCTCGTCTCTATTAAAAAAACAAAAATCAGCTCAGCACAGTGGCTCGCACTTGTAATCCCAGCACTTTGGGAGTCTGAGGCAGGTGGATCACCTGAGGTGAGAAGTTCAAGACCAGCTTGACCAACATGGTGAAACCCAACCTCTACTAAATTAAAAAAAAAAAAAAAAAAAGTAGCTGGGCGTGGTGGTGCATGCCTGTAATCCTAGCTACTTGGGAGGCTGAGGCAGGAGAATCATCACTTGAACCCAGGAGGCAGACGCTCCAGTGAGCCAAGATTGTACCATTGCCCTCCAGCCTGGGCAACTAGAGCAAAACTCTGTCTCAAAAGAATACAAACAAACCCCACAGAAATTGCTGCATGTGGTGGCGCATGCCTGTAGTCCCAGCTACTTGGAAGGCTGAGGCAGGAAAATCACATGAACCCAGGAGGTGGAGGCTACAGTGAGCCAAGATCATGCCACCGTACTCTAGCCTGGGTGTCAGAGCAAGACTCCATCTCAAAATAAAATAAAATTGGCTGGGCACGGTGGCTCACGTATGTAATCCCAGCACTTTGGGTGGAGGTGGGTGGATCACATGAGGTCAGGAGTTAGACAGCAGCCTGGCCCACGTGGTGAAATCCCATCTCTACTAAAAAATTCAAAAAAAATTAGCCGGATATGGTGGTGTGCACCTGTAGTCCCAGCTACAGGCAGGAGAATCACTTGAACCTGGGAGGCAGAGGTTGCAGTGAGCTGAGATCATGCCACTGCACTCCAGCCTGAGTGACAGAGCAAGACTCCATCTCAAATAAATAAATGAATGTATTGATTATTGTGGGTTCTTAACCTTTTAAGATACTGAGGCAGAACTGGAATTCCAATGTAGCAGTCTGTCTCCACATGCTACCTTATATCACATCTCAGTTAAAGAATGCTAATTGTGAGAAATATGGATTCTGACAACCTTCAAAGTCTGAGAGCTGGGGAGTGAAATTCGATGATGGGCATCCAATGACAACAGAAGGATGCACAGACCACTGGATTCCCACATGATCTTTCAGACTTAACAAAGAGACAGCAGTGGTAGATGTTTCTGCTTAGTAATCCTTGTTGAAAACTTAGAGACAGAGAAAAGCTATCCGCTCTCAAACCTAGAGGTCCACAGTGCTTCATCTGAAACCCTGGAGGCCTAATGTGTTTCAGAATTATAAAATTTTTTTTTAACTTAGTAATAAAATATTACCAATACATAGTAATAACCCCAAAAAGCTAAACATTAATATTTCTGTGTTCACTCTAAGTAGAAGGAAGACTTCTGGGATCTCAAAATTGAGCTTCTGTGAACTTGTATCCAAATATTGATTTGAAACAAAAATTCCCTTTTCAATTTAAAATATGATACTTCGAGTTTTATACCTGTTTTTGATGAGCCAATATTTGTTGTCTTTTGAATTTGTTCCTTCAAAACCGTAGCCAACCACCAGAACACCATGATCTAGATTTTTGCTGCTGCACTTTTTTTCAAAATAAATGCCTGGGAGAGTAAAAATCAATGCTGGGGTGAGAAGCTCCCAGTGACATGTGACAGTAACTCACCCTACCACCCACTGTAAGGGAGGCATCTCTAAATTCAGTGAAATGTCATAAGCAAATATTAAATAAGGACCCAAACAATATTGGTCAGAATATAGTAACAGCTGATAAAGGAAAAAAGTCAACCTCATCTCACTAGAAATCAACTAACTTCGACTATGTTCAAGATTTTTTCTACCTAAAGAAAAAGAAAACCCAAAAGATAAAACGTATTGCTTACAGCTAAGGTGATTTAGATACTTATCTCTAAGCCCAAGTACCAATCAGCATAATTCCTTTCTACTCCTAGGTTGTCAGTCTAAAACAGTACCAAAATAAACAAACAAAAACTTGAAGGGGATTTTTTGTAGTCCTAATTACAGTAGTAAAAAACTTTGAGAAAAGTAGGCCCAGCAACTGGAAAATCGTTTGGAAAATTAGGTTGTCTCTATACAATTATGTAGTCATTTAATAATATTTATGAAAATTTTAACATAACTAAGCATTTCTCATGTCAAAGGGAAACATCACTATGTTAAACGCACACTCTCAAAATACTACATTCCTGCAAAGCAGGACTTCATATCAAAGAATCAATCATGGTGGTATTGCCCATCTCTACTTAAATTTCTATAATAAAATGACAAGCACCTGATTTGTAGAACTGGAAGGACGAATGGCTTGCATCAACAGCAACAGAGATGGGCCCCACAGTCGCAACTGCCTTCATCAGTTCCTTCTCATGAGTAGGGATCACCACGAAGCCAGTGTCATTAGCAACAGAATTCTCAGGTTTGTACTTACAGATTCCATCCTTTAAAAGTTAAAGGGGGAGAGACTTGATCACTACCATCTACCTCCTGGGGAACATCAGTTCTAGAACCAAAACACCAAGTGATCTCCAACTTAGGATTTCCAAATCAACACCCTTGTAAGTCATCTCAGGAAACAAAATGCTAATCGTTGATTTGAAACTGAAAAATTAGTTGACATTTCTTCCATGCAAACCCCTAGGTCAATCTGTCCATAAAAAAAATTCTCACAGTGATAAAGTTCTATTATATATAGAATGGCTTGCTTATTTTTCATGTATGTGGAAGCACGAACACCTATGTGTTAACCATCTAATATTAGCTATGTGTTAACCATTAGCTGTTGACCATCTAATCAGAGAGCTGTGGAAAGGCTAATAATTTATAATGACAATACTCACGGTTTGCAGATGTAGATTCTACCATCTAAAATGTGAATTCTGGAAAAAATATCTGTTATCTCTGAAAGGAATCCACTTTCCAAAAGCAGAGTGCGAATAAGATGAGGAGCTCCATTTACCTTTGCTTCATACGGATAGGATGCCTCAGAGTCCAGGCCTCCGTTCTCCTTCACATACCGGAAGGCATAATTCATGAAGCCACCATTGCAGCCCTGATTGCCCTGAGGACGTGAACAGTCCACCAGATTCTGCTCGCTCAGTGAGACAAGTTTCCCTGTTTTCCGGAACATCTGTCCTTCAAGAGCACCGGTAGCACTAAACGCCCAACAAGAACCACACTGTTTCTAAACAGGGAGTAAAAAAGCTGTCAGTTTACAAGACCAGTACAAAAACTGACAGTAGCCCATGTATCTGAATTATCCGAATTTTCTTTAAAAACACCCATCACCGTATGTTGTGCCACCATCTACCAAAGCAATGACACCAATTTTCTTCTTGGCTTTCCTGTGGAGACCGGAGGTTTGAATCTGACGCTGTCTCACCTGATTCTTCACTGGAGTCACGTAGCCTTTCTTTCTCCAATCCACAGATTTAGGGAGATCAAGAAGCAGAGGCCCACGGAACACTTTTCCATTCTTGTGCTTCTGGTTTCGAAAGCAAACCATCACCTGCCTGAATTCTTCATTGGTCTTCAAGGAGAAGTAAAGAAAATGTTAAAAGCAAGACTGCTTTGGTGAAGAATTGAGGAGAAGCAGCACAGAGTTCAGCAATCCTCGCCACACTCACCATGTCACCAAAAGCATTCATGGCCATTGTGAAGCCATGTTTCCCTCGGCTGTATTCCCCATTGTGCAGTTCAATCATTTTCATATTCTTTTCCCACACGGCTCTCCTCCATCCTTCTTCATTCTGGAGGCAAACATAAAGCTGATGGACATTATGTCTACTCACCCAACCCATGCTCACCAAGCCCATCTGTGGGCAGAAATGGAAGAGAAATCATGGCCAGGGATGGCTTGATACTTCAGCTGTTCTCTAAGCCGAGACACAATGGAGATATATGCCCATACTGCATTCCTAACGGGTGCTGTTAGGTTATTGCCTGGTAAGATCTGGTCTCTAGAAGCTACTCTCTGGCTGTCAACTCTCGGAACAGCAAGGACCATTCTCTCCAGAGTCCCTCTGGACAGTTTCAGATGTTACCAACCGTGCTGTATAATCTCCTGTGTGTTGCCTTCCACTGATACCACTGTGTATCTAAATTTTGGTCAAATTTTGGAGCAGCAGAGGCTATTCCCAAGCAAAAGGCAGTGAGGACGAGTGGAAGATTCATGTTTCAAAAACCTAGAAAAGGAAAAGAAATGAGTATCTGATTAGACGAGTCCAAAAAGCCACCTTACAGCCCCAGTGGAATAAAAATATTTCAATTATTCTCCTTAGCATTTCCCCAAAGACTGTGGAAGAGGCTGCGAGAAACAGGCCAAGTCGAGGCATTTGATGGGCCCACCAAAATGAAAAGCAGCCTGCACAGAGTTCGAGAAGTTGAAACAGCATATGCGATAATTTAGAGTATCAGATATGAGAAAGGTGTGAAGATACCGGACGGGTGAGAAGTTTAAGGCAACAACTAGGAAACTAGGAAACAGTTGGTCCAGGTGTTGCACCAATTGTACTGAGGTCATCCAGGCAAAACCTCACTAATGAGGACACACCATCCCAAGTAGGGGCAAGGGGATCCCCAAGGAACAGCATCTCACACGTTCTTGGCTGATACACAGCAGGTGATGGGCGAGGTCTTCCAACCTCTCCTCCTGGAATGAAACCTTTCTGGAACGCCTTTCCAGGAGACACTGGGAAGGAGAGCACCCGCTGCTCCACCGTCCCACACTTGGGTCTGTGCTACCAACATCCCCACTCACTCCCCTAATCACCGACAGGGTCACGAGGCCGCGCCGCTGGAAGGCAGGGACCCCAGGGCTAGGGCCCGGACCCGCGCAGGCAGCTCACGGGGCTCTGCGCCAGGCCCCCAGTGGGCGCTGCGGGCGGGTTAGGGCCGGGGCGGTGGGCGCGCCGCCGCCTCCCGCCCTCCGCACGCGCCCGCCAGGCCCTGAGGATGTTGGCGGTGGCGCAGGGAGCTGGGGCTCCGCGGCCGGGGTGCGGCGGTGAACCCCGCAGGGTGACTGACCTGCGCCGCCCGTGCCCTCCCTGGGGTCTCCAACCGCCCTCCGCGGTTCCCCACTTCGAGGCTGGCAGAGCTCGGGGCAGAAGCTCTCACTCCCAAGGGTCGTGCCCGCCTCCGCCTCCTCGACCTCGTCCCTCTAGGGGGTTCCCTCCTCCAGTCCCCGTTGGCTCTGCCCCTCGGTCTGGTCGGGGGCGCTCACCAGCAGCCGTCGGAGATGCCCAGGCGCTCTCCGCAGACAAGACCGAGCTTACAGCAGCTGGCGGGTCTGGACCAGGTGCGCGCGGCTCGGAGTTTAAGTTTCCAGGCGGCCTCCCCCGCTCCCACCGCCTGCCCGCGCTGCGATTGGCTGCGCCGGCCACTGGGCGGGGCCCCTGGCGCTCGGAGCCCGCACGTGGCACCGCCCAATCCCAGCCTGTCTCAGGTCTGGGCGCGCCTGCCTCAATGGACCCCGGGTGCGGGGAGCGGAGCCCGGCGCCCGGGGGCTGCGCGGAGGAGGGGCAGGCGCCTCCCGGGCGGGCTCAGATCTACTGAGTATTCCGACTTACTACGCTGGGCGGGGGGGTCCTGGAAAGAAGTTCACAGCGAGCCCTGTGTGGCTTTCCAGCCTAACCCTACTTTTCCTTAGCCGTTGAGTTTTTGCTGAAAGTCTGCAGGGCCCGGAGCCAGAGTACTTAGTCCAGTGGCTCCTGTTTAGTCCACGGCGAAGGTGGGGCCGAGTGGAAGAAGGCACAGCCCCCCGCAGAAGCATTACCTCCTACCTCTTAAGGGCGGGTGCAGCAGGGCTTTAGAAGAATCTGGTAGGGAAAGGCACCCCCAAAGCACGGGATGGGATAGTCGAGACGGGATCCCAGGAGGGAGGGGATTGGCTGGTAGGGTGTCCAGTGACAGCGGGGCGTTTTGTCGTGCACCCTTTCCAGTCTCTTGCATTCAGGGATTCTTCCTTCTCCCACGTCTTTCAATATCAAAAAAGAAAGAAAAAAAAAGTTACAGAAATATTTGGTTAATAAAAAGGAGAAAAGCGTTGAGAATGGTGAAATTGCGTTTTTGTAGAGATGGAGTCTGGCTATGTGTTACCTTAGGCAACTCTTGAATTCCTGGCCTCAAGCGAGCCTCCCTTCTTGGCCTCCCTAAAGTGCTGGGATTACAGGTGTGAGCCACCACGGCCAGCCTGAGAGTGGTGGAAACCGCTTTTACTTCCCTACTGTCTGCTTATGGGTTACAACGTCTTCCTCAGTATTCAAAGCGTGCTTCTGAGATTTAATAAATTTACTTTTAAAATATTTAATATCAGAGTTGAGGTGAAGCAGTTTGAAGAACTGCTCTTTATGGAGAAATATATATAAAGATTTAAGGAAATCATTAATAATTCAGAAAAGTTTCTAATTCTTTTTAAAGTTATATAAAAAAATCCATTATGGAAAATAACGTTTTAGAAAATAAACATCCCAGTCGGATGTGCTGGCTTATGCCTGTAATCCCAGCACTCTGGGAGGCCGAGGTGAGTAGATCACCTGAAGTCAGGAGTTCAAGACCAGCCTGGCCAACATGGTGAAACCCCATCTCTACTAAAAATACAAAAAAATTAGCTTGGCGTGGTGGCGGGCACCTGTAACCCCAGCTAGTTCTAGAGGCTGAGGCAGGAGAATCGCTTGAACTTGGGAGGTGCAGGTTACAGTGAACCGAGATCGCCCCATTGCACTCCAGCCTGGGTGACAAGAGCAAACATCTGTCTCAAAATAAATAAATAAAAACATCCCTTGTCCCCTCTTCATAACTCTTTTCTAGGCATATATATATATATATATATATATATATATATATATTTTTTTTTTTTTTTTTTACAAAAATGAAGTTATAATGCATATTGATTAATAAACTTTCTTGTATTTTAGACGGAGTCTCGCTCTGTCGCACAGACTGGAGTGCAATGGTGCAGTCTCAGCTCACTACAGCCTCCACCTCCTGGGTTCAAGCGATTCTCCTGCTTCAGCCTCCCCTACAGGCACGCGCCACCAGGCCTGACTAAGTTTTGTATTTTTAGTAGAGACAGAGTTTCACCATGTTGGCCAGAATGGTCTCGTTCTCCTGACTTCGTGATCCACCCACCTCAGCCTCCCAAAGGGCTGAGATTACAGGCGTGAGCCAAGGCGCCAGGCCGATTAAACTCTTAAAGATTAATGTGAATAATATCCACAGTTTTTATTTGTTAATTTGAAAATGTGTTAAATCAACTTTACCCTAAAGCTGCCTCCCTATGTGATTTAAATTTGGCCGAAAGCTTTCTCTGTACATAGCGAACTGTAACCTAGATGGAGATGTCATACTCCTGTGCCCATCCACGAGTTTCCATAAGTCAGAGGTTCAGCTGTTCAAACCACGTTGAAATAAGGCAAACGTGGAGCTGTAACCAATCCTGCAGTTTCTGTGCTTCACTTTCCCTTTCCTGTCTATAAATCTTCCCCCACATGGCAGCACTGGATTCTCTCTGAGCCTGCTCTGGCGGAAGAGGCTGCCAGATTCACAAATCGTTCTTTGCTCAATTAAATTCTCTTAAATTTAATTTGGCTATGGAATTTCTGTTTACAAATTAAAAACAAACTGACAGCTTTTCAGAAGCACAATCAGGCAAATACATGTTTTTTAAAAATCAATTTATTAATAGTTATACGTACTTTCTTTTTTTTTTTTTTTTTTTTTTTTGAGACGGAGTTTCGCTCCTGTTACCCAGGCTGGAGTGCAATGGCGCCATCTCGGCTCACCGAAACCTCCACCTCCTGGGTTCAGGCAATTCTCCTGCCTCAGCCTCCTGAGTAGCTGGGATTACAGGCACACGCCACCATGCCCAGCTAATTTTTAGTATTTTTAGTAGAGACGGGGTTTCACCATGTTGACCAGGATGGTCTCGATCTCTTGACCTCGTGATCCACCCGTCTCGGCCTCCCAAAGTGCTGGGATTACAGGCTTGATCCACCGCGCCCGGCCTGTTATACGTACTTTCTTTAAAACATTGCAGCTTTTTCTGTGTCACTTGTGCTGGGAAAAAAAAAAAATTGCAGTTTTTCCCTCTCAAACGCAACTAGGGGCCAAAGCTGTCAGGTGGTTATATACAAAATATGAAAGTATATTGTATTGCAGACTAAGATAGATGGAGCTCCTGAGCCTAGGAGTTTGAGACCAGACTGGGCAACATGATAAAATCCTACCTCTACCGGAAAAAAAAAAAAAAAAAAAAATTAGCCAGGCATGGTAACCCATGCCTGTAGTCCCAGCTGCTCGGGAGACTGAGGTGGGAGGATTGCTGGAGCTCAGGAGGTGGAGGTTGTAGTGAGCTGAGCAGGGCATGCGCCACCACACTCCAGCCTGGGTGACAGAGTGAGACACCTTTAAAAAGAGAGAGAGAGAGAGAGAGAGAGAGAGAGAGAGAGAGAGAAAGAGAGAAGAGAGAGAGAGAGAGAGAGAGAGAGAGAGAGAGAGAGAGAGATCGTATTGCAAATTGCTGGAGTTTTTTTTTTTTTTTGGTTTGTTTTTTAAAAAATTAATCATTGTGTTTAACACAATCATCATTCACACATAGAAATAAATGAAGACCACCACATAAGAACAAACAGAGGCTATATATTCAGAACTTGCTGTTACAAAGGAGGTAATTTAAAGACAGGGGACAGGGAAAGCTTTAGTGGAAAAAGGGGGTGACTTCAGGTATGTCCTCTTTGCAGAGTGTTCTCACTCTGGAGAAGCTGGAGGAGGGATAACTAGAGATGGAGTATATTATGTCACTTGTTTGCGGAGTGCATTTGGGTCTTCTGGTTTGTCCTGGGTTGGAAGCGGAGGCAAAAATAAGGAAGCTGTCAGCCATTGAGTAAGTCCTGACTGTTCTGAGTTGGTCTCTGCAGTTATTATGCTTCATTTCTTCTGTGGGGCAGAGTTCTATTGCCATATACTCGGGCCATTGTCCATTTGTTTACTCAGTATCACAAGAAAGCTAAGTTATTCTAACACGTGGGTTTTGCAGTTGCCCTTGGGCCACAGCTCTGTAAGATGGTAGGGTGGAGAAACCTGCCAGGGCATTCAGATCTGCGCCTTAAGCAATAGTCCGGCAGCAGGCCAAGTGGCTGGTGCTGCTCTGAAGAATGGCATCCCCTTTGTTTTTTGGAATGTGAGACAAATGTAGTAGAGAAAACATGGACCCTTTTCACACCAAGTGTGCCCCAAATTTGAAATTATACCAGAAAAAATGTAAATGCAGAAGAAATATGAGAGAAAGCCAATAAGCAGGAGGGTGGAAGACATTATTGTTCTAACTCAGGACATCTGTTTATATCTATTTATACATATCTGTGAAATAATGTGATACAGAAATGTGGTATTACTAGCCGGGACAGATATATTTAGATAGTCGTTTCTTTCCCTACTCTTCTATTCATATTTCTTTGCAAAAACAATTTTGATGACTGATAATTTTTAAAATGGTCACATTTTAGTGAAGCAACCAAATCTTGGCCATGCCTTTAATAAAATGCAGTTGGTGGAACTTCCTGATTCCTATTTAAAACGCAGTATCTGTGAAAGTATATTCTCACGTGCATCAGTGTAGCTTTCTTTTAACTTACTATTAAAAGAGGATGTAGGCCAGGTCCGGTGGCTCACGTCTATAATCCCAGCACTTTGGGAAGCTGAGGCAGGTGGATTACTTGAGGTCAGGTGTTCGAGACCAGCCTGGCCAATGTGGTGAAACCCTGTCTATTAAAAACACAAAAAAATTAGCCGGGTACGGTGGTGCATGCCTGTAGTCCCAGCTGCTGGGGAGGCTGAGGCAGGAGAATCACTTGAACCCTGAAGGCAGAGGTTGCAGTGAGCTGAGTTCGTGCCATTGCACTCCAGCCTGGGCTACAGAAAGAGACTCTGTCTCAAAAATAATAAATAAATAAATAAATAACAATGTGTATAATTCTTTACCCAGTCTCTGGAAGGTTTAAACCATAGGGGAACTGGCAAACAGTGTGGTGATATTCAAGACCCCGACATCACTTAACACCTCTCCCCAGTACAGTAATTCCCTCCGATTTGTTTAGATTCACTGAACCAAGAATTATTCTCATTATTTAAGAAGCATTCGGGCCGGGCGCGGTGGCTCAAGCCTGTAATCCCAGCACTTTGGGAGGCCAAGGCGGGTGGATCACGAGGTCAAGAGATCGAGACCGTCCTGGTCAACATAGTGAAACCCCGTCTCTACTAAAAATACAAAAATTAGCTGGGC